AATAACCTTGAGCAAGAAAACAACCAATCAGGAGAGGTTGCTTCTCCGTTGACAATAATGTACATAAAAATCTATAAATATCTCTCGGTTTTCTCAATAAAGGATTTGTTGCTTGGCCATTGTCTTCTATCGTTACACTATTACCGTCTGTCTAGGATTAGGAGTGCATAGGGTAGGAGTCGAACCGGGACAATGTGAGTGTCTGCCTAGCGTTCTACAACTCAATTACCGAAATATATATATACATACATAATGTACATAGGATAAGGCATATAGAGTTTGAATATTTAAAAGGTATGAATGTTCAGCTCTTAAAACTGGATGAATGAATTCATTTATTTGTTTCAATTGCCTAGATTACTCAACTTTTACTTACTTTGACCTATAGGTGTTAACTAACAAAGAAAACTTTTAAAAAGTGTAGAAAATAGGTAATGTGTAACACCTTAGAAGTAAATGAAAGAGTAAACAGATTGACCTTATCTCAGTGTAAAACCAAAATAGATGAAAGTCACTTTTGATGTTGTTTTACTTCATTACAAGATAAATCAAGTAAAACCCTTTGAAATAATTTGAAATAATATTTTTGGTCTTCATCTAAACTAACGATAGTTTTTTTTGAAATAGTAAACTTTAAATAAGTCCAAAATAGTTTTTACGAGTTTGACCACGGATTGATATTAGTAGATGAACCATTGGAAAGCTGTTTCATCAGCCTAGTTTAAGATTTATCGTCAGTACGCACCCACCACCAGGATTCGAACGTAGGAGCTTCCGGTTACAAGGCCAGCTCATATATCATCCAGCCACTGGGACCATTTCATGATTTAGCACCACCACCAACCAATGTCATCGGCGGGACATCCATCCTCACACTTGACTGGATGGACTTCACTATTGAAAATCCAAAATTATGCTTATTAATATATGGGTACAACTTGGGCATTCTGGTAGTAAGTAATTCCATATCAGTTTGTTTATTAGATATATCACACAGTGAAACAGTATTATTATTTACTGGATGACGAGGTTTCGAACACAATTTATGATTGTTCATAATCATATCAGTTATAATCACACAACTTCAGTCAGACTAGCGGAGCATAAAAATCTAGCGAAATCAAGGTAAATTGACCCTAATAAGATACGAAATCTAGAGAATAGTTCAACTACACCACTCACTACATTCAATTACACACAAACATACAATAGGATGGATGGGATAAGATGACAGTTTTAAAATCTCATGTAACAGCGGAGTGGAGGGAGAGATTGATAACAGAAGCTTTGTTTATCGAATCAACTGCGAACACGTGTAATAGGAATGATTCATCACCTGTCCCAGATATCTGAAAAATTCTACTACTCCTACGGCAAATAGGAGAAGACAAAGAAAACTATAAAACTCAAGTTTTGAAGTCGTGTGATTATAACTGGTATGATTATGAACAATAAATTTTGTTCGAAACGTCATCCAGTAAATAATACTGTTTCACTGTGTGATGCATCTAATATACAAACTACTATGGAACAATTAAGCTTAATCGAATCAATATCTGTGCTTTGAAGTATTCACTATCATTCAAAATCATCGAACTTAGTACACTTTAAGATATTGAAAATCACAGAAATGTTACCTGTTATCTTATCTCCTCATATTCTATGACAACAGTTTCAATACCTATAGGTTTGCAAACATTTGTCAAATACGTTACGCATTCATTTAACCCATCCGGTAGGGAGTGAGGGCAAACACTAACCGATGATACTGGCTGGTGCCACGCTAAAATCACGAATTGGTAGAAGTTAGAATTCACGGACTGTCCACTGAGTCAGGTCCCAGTGGTTGAATAGTTTACGAGCTTGACTTGTGACCGGAAGGTTCAGGGTTCGAACCCAGTGAGTGCATTCTGCCCATGAGCTGCGACCTAGGACGAAAAATCTGTCCAATGCTCTCTGGTTCCCTAACTGATATCAGTCCGTGGTTAAACTTGAAACTAATCTCTGTCTGTTATAGTTGCACTTAGTTTATCATGCTAACGTGACAGTGTTATGGGTTTCGTGCTGACTGTTCGACGGTTCATTTCCTTTGCAGAAGTCATATTGTTCCATGTATCTCATCCACCCTACTCATTTCACAATATCCATTACATTCATACTAATTTTGTATGTTTAACAGTTTGTTTGTAAAGCAATAACTTGCGCTTAATTCGTTTCTTTGACATAAATCATTTATATCCATCCTAACAGTAGAATTAGCACCTGTGGTTTCCGGGTCCATATGTCTATTTATCTCCTGCACTTTCAATATTTTTTGTCTCAGTGACTCATCTTAATTTTCTCGAATTTGTATGCAAGTTGGGCATTGCGGTAAGAAATTCTACTTTACTGTATTTGTTTCCCGAGTTTGCCCATGGATTGATATCAGTTAGAGGAACATTGAAAGCCAGGGAGTAATGGAAAGCTGTTTAGTCCTGGACCTTGTGACTCATCGGCAGTAGGCACCCGCTGGGTTTTGAACCCAGGACCTTCTGGTTACAAGGTAAGCTCGTATACCATTCAGCCACTGGGACCCAATCCCATGGCCAGCCCATAAATTCTGACTTCTACCGATTCGTGATTTTAGCTCGACCAACAACCCATGCCATCAACGGGAACTCCATCCTCACTCCCGACTGGATGGACCTCACCAGAACCCCAGGAAAACTCTGTCCTGTAGCAAGTCACTAGCGAGCATCAGATTAATTTTCAAGAGTTTATTTGTAAGGATTTGAGTTTTTTCCGAATTTGACCACAGATGTTTAGGAATTAGAAGGTAAAGGACTTTGATTCATTGATTTCCTTATAAGCCATGTATTTCTTGCAATTTATTATCTCACCCGTAAGTACTTCAATCACCCTGAAAATATAATTGCAGTTTAATTATTAATAATGTAATTTTATCCTTCATTCTAAGTGGAATGTAGGGCTTCAGCAGAACAATTCCATTCCAATCAGTTCGCTACTGTTCACAAACTTATCTTTATGTCACCTTCCGATCTACACTCAACTTATCTCTCCCCGTTTGGGTTTTACTTGAGAGGCTTATTGGCATGTGATATCACCTGAATCTCCCCAAATTATGTTTTTCCAACAAATCCCCATTTTCCGCAGCACATCTGTTGGGTTGTAGGTTGCTGGTCAGTTCGCTGACACATACTTGTAATTGTTTTCCTCGAAATACAAAACTGTTGAATGCAAATAAAGATTAAATGAAATCGTTGAATGCACAATATTGCCCAATTAGATAAGTCATTTCATGATGGTATCGTATTATTGGTATGAAACATCATTAGTATGAATAATCATATTTGTGGTAAGAATTTATGCTGAGAGAAATTAAGGATATGACGAGAAAGTCTGAATACTAATAACTATGAGCATAATGCAAGACATAGTAGAATCAGGTTTATACATTCACTTGTATCTTCATATTTCTGTAATGTGACATCTAACTCATATATCTATCTATCTCTGCTGTCGTAAGGTTTCACAAAGAAAATATCTGTGAAATCCAGGATACGCGGACTTTGTCCTACTTAGGACTTGCCACCCAGATTTGCCTGTAATCCCGAGTGAGTTATGATGTCCCCACTGGGACTCGAACCCAATACCCTTCGTTATCCTCTAAACCACTTGGACCATTTATCTGCATTTATTGCGAAAAGGATTTAGCATATTGTTAAATCAGCTTAGATAGACGAAAAGATTCTAGAAGACCTGCACTTCTCACGTCTCTCAAAACAGAAACCTACAAGCGAAAAGCAAAAATTCGGTAGGAGAAGAAGAGAAGGCAGGACTTCAAGTGAGCATATAGGAAACAAAAACAAAACAAGATATTCAAAAGACTAACAGTTGACACTCTAATCACTATCAGTTGGAGACATCTACACTTTTAGTCATCTTAACTCCATCGTTTAAACTACAGGCTGAAAGCGTGAGGATGTTAGAATCCGTGAAAATCGGTTCGGGAAGGCAAGAAAGGTGTTCATCACTATTCAGTCTGTGGATGGCTTCACACCAATTAACAGAAAGAACAAGGTCCAAAATTTTGGTACTAATGTGAAGTCAGCGCTTCAATATGGTTCAAGGATTAGATAAAAAGTTCCACGATAAACATTTTCAGCAGCCTAATGTAGACTTTTCTTGGTCGGCTAGGAATGGTAAGGTGATAACAATGAACTTTCGAGGTGAGTCTACCGAGAACCTATTGCCTGACAAATATGCTGAAAGAGGTTAAGATGGATAGGACATTTACTGAAGAGATCATGAAGTGATATCATACACTAGACAGAATGTCGAGTAAAATCTGAAAAGACAGATTTAACCCGAGTACGAGGCTGGCATGGAGGAAATGATAGTTTGCTAGAAGTTGTAGAGCTAGTTGTGTGGTGACAGCTGTATGCCACCCAAAATTGTAGACAACAACTTACGTCATTATTTTCGTCCCAAATCGGGTTCATGAGAAAAAACAATAACAAAGCTCAACCTTCACGAACTCACCAACCAATCACTGTAGACTTAACGTGTGCAAACTCGATTCGCAGATGTATGGCTTAACTTTCTAGGAAACGGTCACAAGCTTTACAGAATAACCTTGAGCAAGAAAACAACCAATCAGAAGGCGTTGATTCTCTGTTAACAATAATGCTGATGTCAGCTCACGATGAAATCCTCCATCCAATCAAACTAAATCCTTACAAAACCAATAAAAAATACCTCTTGATTTTCTCAATAACCAATCTGTTGCCTGGCCCTTGTCTTTGGTAGTTACAGTTGAAAGTGATGTCAGAGAGCTAAGTGGAGTAAGGATGTACAAGTGAAGCCCTGTGTTTCACTCAAAATGTAAGAAATGAGTAAAATACGATGAGAAAATACTTCATGTGTACTCGTTATAATGAACAATCTCGTTAAAGAATATTTCGGTGTTTATTCATTCTTCTTGTTTTTATTCCTCTTAGATATCAATTTGACCAAATTACAACTGAGCAAGCTTAGTTCACAATTACAATCCGTCGAGAATAGGATTGCATTTTTTGCTGGTCTTGAATTCAATGTAGTTGAAAAACCCTTAGATGAAAATCCCAAAGTGATAATGAATAAAGTTATTACTAATTTGGGTAGTGCATATAATCCTGTGACTGGTGAATTCATTGCACCTGTCAATGGTATATACATTCTATTCCTGGCTATATCAGCTCAAGGAAAATCAAGGGTAAGTGATAAGCATTCATTCTATTAATTTATTTAAAGATAAAATTCATCTATTGAAACAAATAATGCAAAAATCACAGTAAATCAAGGTCTTCATGAACTATTATTTTTTTAAATTCCTTTACGTTCCCTGTGGAACATAAGGCTTCAAGCTAGAGCGCTGAAGTTCCAGTAGCAGTGGTGTCTACTTTCACGGGATAGGGTTGTTAGCCGTGTGCCCAACCTTCCTTCTTTATCAGTCTTATTACTGGCTCGGCGAGGTAAATAGTGAGTCAGCCGGGGATTGAACCCCGGAACACATGCGTGGTCGGTGAGCATCCTATCACTGTGCCACCGAAGCACCGATGAACTATCTTATGATCTGTAAGATAACAAGCCTTTTGAAATCATGATTTCATTTGCGGAATACCTGGCTGGGTTTATGAGAGGCTAAGAATCAATTGCTATAAACCATTGATGATACAGTTCATTATTGTTCTCAATAGTTCAGATGCATTTACTCGTTGAGACCTCTTAGATACATTAAATTTTCATTATTCTACGTGCAACTAATCTTCATCCCAGGGTTGGGAACACTCCAATGACCTTGCGCCTATCCCAGTTGCTGGCTAACGACACCTATCATTATTACAGTGCAAGCATTAATGCTATTTACCCAGATAATGTTTGCAAGTACTGTTTGGATAATGTGTTAATAGCTCATTAGGGTTAGGTTTGGGGTTAAGGTAGGTATTAGGGTTAGGGTTACGATTACGGATAGATTTAGAGTTGGTTTTATTTATTTCAACTAGTTTTATTGTCCACACTCTCCTGGTAAGTAGTCATTGATCCTCTCACTGGAACTCACAGTAATTCAACTGAGAGCTTTCGGGGAAGACTGGAAAACAGGACAAGAGTGATAAACGGGTCACAAAAAAATACTCACCTAAGGTCACGTCGAAAAATACATGTACAGAAACAGCTCTAACTTAAAAGCTGACACTCCTCATTAAAACTGGGACGTATTTTTCAGGTATGTCAGAGAAACATACCCAGTTTAGTGCGTTTTCATTTATTATCTTGTGAATAAACGTCATTTAATGTGCATAAACCACTTATTTCTATGGTTGATCGGCTCAAGTTCACTCGTACGTTCGCATCCATTGACGTTATTGTTTTACTTTGCCCTTTGTCCTGAATATTCCCGTCGTTTTTTGAATTAATGAATGCTAATGTGTCACAACTTGAACTGATGCATATTTTGCAAACATTCAGCTATGAAAAGTAAACAAATTATGAAATCTTGGTTTAATTCAGTGTTTTAATTAGTGCAGAACTATAAGTTTTGAATTATGTAATAATTAACTAGCCGACCCTTGATTTGGAAACTAAGGAAGACTAAGAATGAGGCTGACAACCTAACCGCATAAAAAGCACCATTCCGCATACCTTCAGAAACTTCAGAGCATAGAAAAAAGTAGACTTATTCTATGGAGGAATCAGTGAAGAAGGAGATCGACTGGACATAATCAAACCAGTTAAGCCATAGAGTGGAAACGGAACGTGAAGAAATGTGGGTTAGATTTCGACCCGACGGTAACATGCAGAAGATGATGATGTGAGTAGAAAATGAAAGCCCATGAGTAGTTGTGGAGCCGACTGAAAATGATAGCCGAGCACTGAGTGGAATTGATATGTGTAGCTAATGTAATGTACAAAGTAAAATTAAAAAATATGGCAATAAAAGTGATTGAATTGTGAATTTTCTGAAGTGCTCTGTCTCAGGTGGACGTGTCAGCTTCTACACAAGCATCTGCACAAGAAGCCAACATGTCAACCTGAGATCGAGCACTTCGGTCCAATCAATCGACGAGAAAATCCAAAATTCAGTTAAATTAATATGACCCATTGCACAAGAGGTGGCTCTCGTGGCCCAAGTGGTCTAGTGGGTAGCGCTTTGGCGTTTGAAACTATGGGCACTGGGTTCGATCATCGGTGGGGACATCATCACTCATTGAGAAATGCAGGTACATCCGGATGAAAAGTTCCAAATAGGACGAAACGCGCATCCTGGATTCCACTGCCAGTCACCATCCCCCAATTAAATGAAAGTGATATTTAAAAATATATGTGTAAAACTTGGGCACTGTGGTAGTAAGTAATTCCATATTAGCTTGTTTATTAGATATATCATAGATTGAAACAGTATTATTTATTTACTGGATGACGAAGTTTCGAACACAATTTGTTATTGTTAATAATCATTTCATCAATTTTAATCACACGACTTTGAAACTTGGGTTTTATAGTTTTCTTTATTCTCTCCTATTTGTCGCGTGGGGTAGTAGAATTTTCCAAATATCCGGCTGGACAGGCGATGAATCATTCCTATTACATGCATTTGCAGTTGATTCGATAAATAAAGCTTCTGTTATCAATCTCTCCCTCCACCCTGTGACATTAGGTTTTAAAACTGTCATCCTATCCCATCCTATTGTATGGTTGTATGTAGTTGCATGTAGTGAGTGGTATAGCTGAAGTATTCTCCATATTTCTTATCTTATTTGGGTCAACTAATCTAAATTTTGCTAAGTTTTAATGTGTTGGCTAGTCTAACTGCCCCTGTTCTACTAGTCTGATCTATGTATTTGATCTGACAATCATTGCAGGCAGGGTATTATGTAAACTAAATTGTTTTGTTTAATGAGCTCCACAGGATCCTTTAACCTTAAAAGCTTGTTTCTAACTGAGTTTGTGGTTGGTTTGAATGCCAGCCACTTTTATTCCTGCCTTGTTAAGAATTCTGCGTAAGGTTTCCTATGTTCCTTCCTTGTATGGAATTACTACTGATGATTTAGACTCCTTATTGTTGGTGTCGTCATTAATATTATTATTATTATCACTATTATTATTATCCTTATTATTGTTATTATTATTACTATAACTATCGCTGCTATCATTATTTATTTTATTTTCTACATTTCCTTACATATTTCCTGACTAATTTATTCGGGTAATTATTAAGTTTCAAGGCTTCTTTTATTTGTATCACTTCCTGTCTTAGATTTTCCTTGGTACTGCTTAGTTTTTGTGCTCTGTCACTTAAACATTTCACCAATCCTATTTTACTGAGATAGAATGGGATGATCGGAAGTCCAAATATCTGTTTGAATGTGTGCGTTTCCTGTAAATACTAGTTTTTAACTTCCCATCTTCTTTCCTTTTTACGTTGCCATCTAACATTGGAAGCTCCTCTTCCTGGTTTTCCAATTCATAAGTGAATTAAATTGCCTCTACCTTCGAGTTGATGTGTTCGAAAAATCTATCCATATCTTGTGTTCTAAGTTTAAAAATAAATACGGAAAAACAAACAATAAGTAAAAGCATAAGAATGCGCTAGACTACTGAAGTAATGAATGATTAACTTCTCACTGTTTTGTACCCTCATTGTAAATTCAGAACTATGGATTACCAGTGCTTCTGTAGCAACTTATGTCTAATGCAACACAAGCTCGAGGATATTCAGGCGAAAACCGATAAGTTGGGGGAAGACGCTGGCGGCTAAGACAATAGTTCAAGCGAACATGGAGAAGATAAAGGTGATGAAGGCAACTAGCTGACTATTAACGCGAGAAATTTTAAGGATATCAACACTCTCACTTATCTGGACCTCATCATTTCAACTACAGGCAGTCGGCACAGATGAAGACGTCGAGGGCAGAATTGGATAAATAAGACAGACGTTCATTCCTCTGAAATCAATGTGGAAATTTGTTGAACTCAGTATCAAGAAAAAGCTTCGGATTTTCAACACTTAATGTCAAGTCAATCAATCCCTCTATATGATTCAGAGACTTAGTGTTATACTAAAACCATTTCAAACAGACCTATTCTCAGTAGCTGCCATTTCTCCATAATGAAGATCAAATGGCTAGGAAGGACACCCAAGTAACAAGGAACTCCGACAAAGAAACAACCAAGAACCAATTCCTCAACATATACTCTGAAGAAAATGGAGATAGGTCAGACACACTCTGAGCTGACACCACTGAGGAACATCACACACTAGCCACACAGTCGAATGGAACCCAAATGGGAAGGGATGAGTTTAGCCTGGCTTCGAGAGGGACATGCAGGAGATGATAGTTTATGGGCAATTGTGCAGCCAACTTAAGAGGACTGCAAATAATCGGATAAAATGAGGATTAGCCGCTGGAGTCCTGTATTCTATACAGCTTACTGCTTTCCCTTTGGGACACTTGAAAACTGTGTTTTTGCATTCTTGGTATAATCCGTGAAAAGAGAGAATACTGTAACAGTACTGCTATACAGTTTATTCTATATGCTTGTTGTAGTTATTTGCAACAGAAACCCAGATTATTTTTTTATTTTATTTTTTATTTTTATTTACAGCTTGATTCCACACCGTATTTTCAGTACAAGTGTGGAATTTTCAGCATGGATATCGGTAGCCCAAATTCAGGCCGACCATAGATATCGGGTGTGCGCCGGCAGGGGATCGAACCCCGGACCATGTGCATGGTCGGCGAGAGTACTAACCACTGTGCCACCGACGCACTTGGAATAATAATAATAATAATATATCTATTTTGGAAACAGCCTTTCTCAAAACAAAAACGCATTCTTTTCATTTTAATGAAATGCATTTTAAAAGATGTAGGTTTTTACTTTCAGTAAGATTATTGTCAGATAATTATACCCTCCTACTTTTATGATTATTATTTATTAACCATAAATTAAAACGCTTCTAGAAGTCGACGTTTCTTTAATGCTTCTATTTTTAACGTTAAAAATAAGTTTTAATATAATAAAAATATTACTGAAAATGACTCGTATGTTTGTTACTGCTGGGATAATGATGATTTCAGATTAAATCACGTACTGGCATCAGTGAAAGAACTTATAGAAACCAGGGAGTATTGAACATCTGTTTCGTCCTAGTTTGGGGCTTCTCATCGGAAAGTACCCATGACCTCACAGAGTGTTAGATGTAACGAAGTG